GCTGAGGAATCGAACCCGGGGCCTCATTCATGCAAGGCAAGCACTCTACCACTGAGCCACCTTCCCAGCCCCTTGTCATCATTTTAAAATAGTGAAATCATCAACAGAAGGATCACAAAGGTAATAAGTAAAGCCACCAAAAGAACATAAATGTGAAAATAAATAGACTGCAATAAGGATATTTGTTTTTTTTTTTGTTTGTTTGTTTTGGCCAGTCATGGGGCCTGAGCTCTGGGCCTGGGCACTGTCCGTCAGCTCTTCAGCTCAAGGCTAGCACTCTACCACTTGAGCCACAGCGCCACTTCTGGCTTTTTCTGCTTATATGGTGCTGAGGAATTGAACCCAGGGCCTCATGCATGCAAGGCAAGCGCTCTACCACTGAGCCACCTTCCCAGCCCAAGCAATAAGGACATTTGTTACCAAGAACAGTGTTACTTTGTTCTGCCTTAGCTTATAGAATGCATTGGGAAAATACATGTCAGGTTGCTCTTAACTTTTCATCACTCCCAGAATGTCTGTGGTTAAGAAATTTCCACATATGCTAATTTTGGATTACAAATAAATTTTACTAATAGGAAAATTTGTAGTATGGAGCCCACAAAAACAGTATCAAATATAAAAGCAGAATATCACAGAAAGAGTTGAATAATCACAAGAGAAGCTTTAAAAGGTATCTTGGGGACTTTAAAGGGAGAACATCCAATAGGGCTTTTACATATCCCTTTTTAGAATGTTTCCTGATGCTTCCCAGTAGCCTGGATTAGGATTTATAGCATTCCCACAGGGCCTTGTGTTCATTGCTATCAGACTCGAAATCACACTCTATTGTTTCCCCAGCACCTAGAGTAGTACATAACATATAAAATCTTGTAAAGATTTTTTTTGGTCAAAGGTTTAGTGTAACTAGAAATTGTTCTATAAAGGAATAGGTCTTTTAACATTCATACTAAAATTCAAGTTGAATTTTCATTAGATAAATTTTATTTTTAAAAGACTCCCTTTATATGATTTATAGTTTTCATTTTTCCAGTAAAAGCCATTATCAGCCAGGTGCTGGTGGCTGACACCTGTGATCCTAGTTAGTCGGGAGGCTGAGGACAGATTGCAGTTTGAGGTTAGCCCAGGCAGAAAAGTTTGTAAGATTCCCTTCTAACCCATATCTGGGCCCAGTGTTGTATGTTTGTTATCTCAGATAGTGGGAGATTACAGTTCCAGGACAGCCTTGGCAGGAAAGTTTATAAGACTTGTCTTAACAGAAGATGCTCATTAATTTAATGCAAGTCTGTCATCTTACTGATCTTTACCTCTCACAAGTAGCTGAGATTGTAGGTGTTTTCATTTAGGACATCAATAGGAGTGGAAATGACCAAGAAAGAACAGATTCTAGCTAGGTGCCAGTGTCTCACATCTATAATCCTAGCAACTCAGGCAGCTCACAATTTAAACCAGTGTGGGCAAGAAAGGCCCTTACACTCTTATCTCCAATTAACCATCAAAAAGCTGGAAATAGGGCTGGGAAGGTGGCTCAGTGGTAGAGCTCTTGCCTTGCATGCTCAAGGCCCTGGGTTCGATTCCTCAGCACCACATAAGCAAACAGAAAAAAGCCAGAAGTGGCACTGTGGCTCCAGTGGTAGAGCGCTAGCCTTGAGCTGAAGAGCTGAGGGACAGTGCCCAGGCCCAGAGTTCAGGCCCCACGACTGGACCAAAAAAAAAAAAAAGCTGGAAATAGAGAGGAGGAGCTATGGCTCAAGTAATAGAGCACCAGCCTTGTGTGAAAAAGCTAATAGACCATGCCCAAGCCCTCAGTTCAAGCCCCAGGACCAGCACAAAAAGCCCCTACAAAATGTATAGTTTTTCTGTTTCCCTTTTTCTTTGATGGTCTATCCTCTGGATTGTTATTGTTCAAGAGAAATATAGTAAGAGTCACATAAAAAATTGCATATTTTCATAGTGAAAAACAGATAAGATTAATTTTCTTATGTTTTATTGAATGTAATATATCCATATTACTATTTCAACAATGTAACAAATGAAAAATACAAGTGAGATTTTCTCTTTTGGTACTTAGTTTTTAAAATCTAGTGAGTATTTTATATTTACAGCATATCTCAAAGTTGACTAGCCACATTTTGGGTACTGAGTAGCCACATGTGATTAGTATCTGCCACGTTGGACAGTGTACCTTTAGATATACTAATCTGTTCAGGACTCTGGTTACCAACACTGTCCTTACTTTGCATATCTCTTCTTTCTACCAGAAATACCTCTTTCCTGCTTGTCCATCTGCTAAACACTCGTCTCACTTCGAGAGCTGGCTCAAACTCTGCTTCCCCACAGAGGCTTTTTCTGTATCCCTGAGACAGATTCATATTCTTCCTGGAATAAAAGTTAGAAGAGAAATTGGAGGATGGAGAAGGGAAACATTCAGGAGAAGGGAGCGAAACACCAGTTTCATGGAAGCCAAAAGAAGAGAGAAAATGCAGAGTAAAGGGGTAGGATATTATTGGTAACATATATAACTCAGACTGGACAATGTAATACTGAGAAAGAGCTGTGGAATTAATTTGGTGACTCAATGCCCAACGGTCATTTCTGAAAGAGTAGCTTCCACTGAGTTATTGGATTGGAATAGGGGTTGAGTAGGAAATGAATAAGCTGAGGTCACAACTATTTTCATTTAGGAACAGAAAGTTTGGCTCCAGAGTCAAAGGGAGAAGGAAAGGTTCTTTTTTTATGTTTATTTTAAAAAAATTCTCTCATTCGTAGTACTGGGGATTGACCTACTTCAGGCCTTGTACATACTAAGCAAGTTTCTCTGCCACTGGGTCACATGCCAGCTCTGGAGTGGATTATTTTTAGGCAAAGGGAAATTCAAGCATTTAAAGTTAAAGAGGAACAAGATGATAGCAAGATTTTGATGGTATAATGG